TGTATTGAACCTCAAATGGCAGGGGACACGGTGAAAGAGGAAAGAAACATTTCTTTCAAGATTATGGTTGGCAAATCTGAAGAGATTGTTTGTTGTGCAGAAGCGGGGTAGGGTTTTTTTAATTCACCCTTCAGTTTCCCGGTTCTTTCTTGGGTTTGTAGTGAAATAGTTTCGCAGTGACTCTATGAAAGTATTCATTGATCAGTTGCACAACAGTGTCCAGGTGTTGATGAGCAATATTTCCAAGTGAAATTATAATAAGGAAATTCTACAGAGTCCCGAGCTTTATCCCGGTTTTTACTATGAGAATTGATGGTGGCAGCCTCGTGATGCTATGGAAGTTATTGGCCAGGTACTATCTGATTTGTTTTCAATTGTCTTAACCACTGCCTTATTGACATTTATGGCGCATTTTGTAATTCGCTTGATGTCTGCATTCTGGTATGCAGACAAATTCACCCAAGATATGCTCATAATGTTCCTCTCCTTTGGAATGGTGGGGAGGGAGCATTTGATTCTTTCCATGGTAGTTAATGTCAAGATGTCATCTTCATTGCTTTCTAACTTTTAACACGACTCGACTTGGGGATTCTTTCGAGGAGCCTGTCTGCAAAGTAAACAAGATCTCTGGTATATGCTCATTCTTAGTTTGTAGACAGCTTTGCTCACGTTCATTCTTGTCTCATAGGCCGTACTTCTTTAGAGGTTTGGTTATCATCAGAGTAAGAAAAATTTTGATCTGCCAAGCAATGCTTTCGCCACAAAACAAAACGAACACAACTGGAAATGGTTTTGAGATTATGGAATGGACAATTGTCAATTCATTGTGTTATTTCATTCTTGACCTATGCCTGATTGCAGAGACCCGCCTCAGTTTGCTGGTTGAGGGTGCCTGCAAGAAGGTTGTAGTCGATTTGTTGTGTTTGGCTGAGGCCATACTTTCAAGTAATCAATATAATTTGCAGCTCCCATTGCAAGTTTGTAAAATGCAGAGAGAGAGAGAGAGAGAGAGAGAGAGAGAGAGAAGTAATGTGATGTTATTCTCATTTAATGTCTTTGTCTGAACATATTTGACAAGGGGAGTTGAACATGACCCCTATTGTGGATGAAGTTGACCTTAGTCAGCTGCCTAGGTTCATGCCTCCTGAATGATTGCCCCATTTTCTGCATAAACAAAATACGTGTATGGCTGTTTTACCGGTTCAAGTTGACGTTGTGAATGCATGGAGATCATTGCCATTATCTTCTGAACCTGTTTGTTTGATGTAAAAATTTGTATATTATTATTGTGTGACTGATGTTTGCTTGCTCCCAACTTCTCCTCATATATTATCTCATATTTTTTGGGCTGCCTGAATTATGCAGCATCGTCTTCTATTCCTGGCCCTGTATTTGGGCTTTGATAACAATGAAGATTCTGAGCCAAACCCATATTCAGAACTCAAATGAGAATTTAGAATAGATGGCAAGGGAGCAGGCCCATTTTTGCTACGTCCATCAGTCACGATGGGAAAATATTGTGATTGGGCCAGAAGTATTGTTTTTCTTCTTATTTTTAAGGGTGAAGAGCAGATATGGATTGATAGATTAGTTGAATAAAATCGACAAAGAAAGATGGATTGATAGAAAATTGGTAGGCAGGATGCACCAATTATTGTCATTTCCTTCGCATCAAAAAAGTGAAAGCTGATGATTTCAAGCACCAGCCAAGCGTTTTCCACTACTAACTAAATTCCTAGCTCAGGCCTATCACCGCACACAAGACAAAATTATAAAAGTCCGCATTTTGGGCCTGTCCTTTTCATACTTGCGCATTACGATATCGAGATTGAATTGATTGGTATTATGTTGTTTATGAGCATGAGAGCATGAGAGCATGAGGAGGAAGAGGACCCAACTGTTTTTGCCGGACTATTATTGCCCCTACCAATAATACCATTTTTTTAAATTGAAAAAAAGGTACCCAAAATTATGATGGCAGATACGATAAAAATGAAACACTTTGCAAATCTATAATTATTTTTTTGGTCACAAAGTGTGTAGCGTAAGAAATGTTAGGTGTCACTCTAGTTAGACTTTGGATCTAAAAACCAACACCTCCACCTTCACCACGAGTCATATGTACGGACAAATTCAATTCGCTTCCTTTATGTAACATTCAAGAAATGCATAATTTTCTTCTTCTTTTTTTGTTCTAGGTTTGGTGGGGATGGAGGGAGACTCTAGTGTAGTAGATGTAGATAGATCCCACCATTGATTGATCACATTCACATGCATGCATACCTTTTCAGCCACCACTTTTAATTCTCACATCATCCCTCCCTTTTAATTCACAAATACAAATGCATGCAGCTGTGTGTGAAGATTATTCTGATAAATATAAAAAAAGAAGTTGTTTTCCAGAAGTTAACTTACATTATATATGACACATACATGCATACGTGCTTTGTCTTGTGCTTTGGTCATAATCCGATTGTCTTGTTCACGTATATATTAAGATGTTTTATTTAGACAAGCTACTTTTGATGTAGACTTCAAACCACTCCATTTTACACAACCTTTAACAAAAGGTTTGGATTCGCTTCGTTTAGTTGGTGGTTGGACTTGGATTCAGACGCTGTCTGTATGTCTCTCTCCCTTGGATCCATGAATAACCACTTTTGTTTTTTTGATACAAGCTAATTGAGGACGATGAATTCAAACATAAGCTATCCGGTGCGCATAAGCAAATACTCTTAACTACTTGAGTTACAATATCTTATTTTTATTTTTATTTTTTTGTTATACAAGCGATATTGGGGGAAGAAATCGAATCTAGAACATCAGATATATGGGTAAATGCTCTTAACCACTTGAAGTACAAACTTTTTACATAATCTCCTTATTTTTAAGATATAATACTTACCCAAACTTCAATTTTTTAACACGTTAATATTGAACATTTCTTATTATTTATAAAACTAAAAATCATGTCAAGGACTTCTGTATTGGATCATGTGCCTCAATTTAATTAATACCGTTAAGAAGCGGTATATTTATTAATACCTTCGATTTGGAAGAAGAAGACGCCCCCCCAATTTTTAAAATATTTATTTCTATGCGTGTGAATTTTTTTAATTAAATTATATTTCTGTGATTTATTTTTTCAATTTGACAAAAGAATTGTACTGTTATGCAAGTGATTCGCTAGACTGACAAAAACTTGAATTTTCCTGACGTAGGAAAAAGACTAAATTGAAGTCTGTCATTTGAATAGTCGTCTAGTTAGTCTTAATTATTGTCGTTTTTTATGGAAATTACGAACATCTATTATCCCGGAATTGGAATGACATTACTGGAGATTATTTATTTTTGTCAAAATGATCGGAATGCCTTTAATTAATTTACATATAGGTAAAGAAAGTTGGTATGTCATTCATTTGACGCCACATTATTAGAAAGCAAACAGGTCTTCATTTCTTTCGGTAAAAAATTCTTTGATGATTTTTAGTTGTCAAAATCTGCTTTTAACCTTTTTTTTTAATATAAATTTTTCTTATGAGAATAATGATAATATACTAAACTCACACATACACTAGACAGGTGTTAGAACTCGAACCTAAGACTTTTTCTGGAGGAGCAATTGCTCCAAATCACTACACTAATGGGTTTTTTTTTGTACTTTTAGTCCTTTTAAAAGCAATAAATATATTCATTTTCCATTTTTATTTGTATGAATAATAATAAAAAGAAGAATAAAAAACCTTATGCGCGTAATATATTTTACCAAAAAAAAAAAGAGCAAATATATTGTAGAGAGATGAGGTCGGGCGTTTCACACACGGCAATAAGCGCGCTGCTTTTGACGTTGTTGGTCGCTGCCAAATTCCGTGTTAGTGTCGGCTGGGTCCCACATGTCCTTCCCTAAATTACCTGTTGAGCACCACGATTTTGTGAGTCAATTGGGTTTTATTTTTTCTTAATCTTTTTACTTAATTTCTTCATTGGATCAATTTTGGTTTACTTTTGGTGCATGCCCTTCTTTTTCTTTTTTATTTTTCTGAATATTATATAAATGTAAACATTTTTATATTATGGAAAATTTTTGCATGGAGGAAGTGGATGCGTTTTATATGCCATGGATGTCGTAAGATTAGATGGAAAAACAGATTGAAAAGCTTTCGTTGAGTCGCAATCTTTGACTGATCTCGATTCAGAAATAATATTAAAACAAAAATATGACGTTTGTGGTGCACCGAAACTAAACGCACTAGCTCAAATCAAAATAATGAAATCCGTTAACAGAAGGATAACATAACAATTCGAGATTTAATTTAAAATAGTAATTGGAGAATATTCCATATAGTTCAGAAGATAAGTATAAAAGCAACGTCTATTGTCAACATGCCGTTCCGTTCCAATCCATTCCGTCCCTCCAAAGATACTTCCGTTTTGTTCTCTTTCACTAGAAATCCGAAACAGATTCCATTCAGTGCCTTCATATTAAAAGTAATTTCCAATTAAGTTTATAATTGAAGTAGCTACAAAGAAGGCAGAGAATGTAAAGCATTTATATCATTGACAATGGCAACTTGGTAAACCGAATGGGACACTAAATGAAAATGGAAAATGTGAGCAGCCCCTACAAATTAAAAAACAAAAAGCGTTAAAGGTAAACCGAATAAAATAAAGAAAAAGAAGAAGAAAAGCAGAAAGGACAAATAAAGAAAAGTGGTATAAATTATTAAGTAGGGGGAGCAAACAAACAGTTGTGGGTTTTATGGAACCGTGCTGGTTTGCTTAGTGCACTCATATTTCAACAAGGGGAGAGAGAAAGAGAGACAGAGACAGAGAGACAGAGTGAGGGAGCTGAGGCTTTGGTTTTTTTTTTTTTT